ACTTACAGGCTTACGGCTACTAACTTTATCTTATCTGCTCCATTTTCTGGCAAACTAGGTTCAGAAAGGCATGATGTTCTCCGTTGTGTATTCTGTGGTGGATGGAGTAGCACGACTTCGATTTCTTTGCATGCCAAAGAAAAAAAGAACTGCACATTTTCAAAACTTGAGACATGGAGCTTGCGGAAGACTTTTCAATTTGTATTCAACCCATGACACAGTATCAGCATGGACATTTTAGCAACAAGTATTTCTCTTAAATATACTCCTTTGTTGGTTTGCAGTTATAATGTGGAGGGTATTTTCCTCTGATGCAACCATACACTGTTAACACATGTATATCATGTGCCAATTGTGATTATTTATCCATTAATTTATTTACTGGCTGCATCCATGTTTTCCATATCTTTTGTTAACATAGTTTACTACTCCCTCCATTCCATATCAAGTGTCGCTGATTTAGTATGGAGGGAGTACTTTGCAAGAATAAAATAAGACGGAGTACATTAGTTTGAGATCAACCTAATGTGATTATGGTACTGTTATAATGTGACAACCTTAGCGCAACTGCCTAATACATTAGCATAAGATATCCTTTTCTGATTACTAAATGATACAACATATCTTTATGTAATTGAATTTCTTTGTTTCATTTATCTTATATCTGTGAGAATACTATCAGTTGTCACAACTGCCTGATACAATAGCATAAGATGATATACTTTATGTAATTGAATTTCTATGTTTCATTTCTCTTATATTTACGAGAATCCCAATTATTCCAACGAAAAAATAGATGGGCGCAGCAACGCGCGCCATCGATGATCTAGTTTAGAAACATTAAAACTAAGCATGCTAGGAAGCCTCTCACGCCATCAACAATTTGGGTCGTCAGATCGCGCCTCCGAGTCATTTTTGGTCGTCCGATGCACCTCCTCCTCCCGCATGGGCCGCTACTCTAGAAACAAATTTAAAGGCCTCTCGTTTGATCCCAGACTAACGGTCCTGATGAGGCCAAGTATCCACCGCACCCGTCCCTTCAGATCTCTCGACCTAGAGTGAAACCTATGCGCCGCCGCAGAGAGAGGGTGACTAATGGCGATGGCGGCGAGGCGCCGTGACCCAAAGGAGGAAGGAAGCTGCCTGTTTCTGGATGGACGAAGAGGAAACCATCGCATGGTCATTCCCCTCCCCGACCCTTCATTCTCTACCTCGCGGCAGGTGAACACGCTTGTCGCTGCCTCCGCCATCTCTGCCACCCATCCTCATCCCGATCCTTGTGTACCTAGGAGATCAGGCTTCCCTCCCCGAGCTCGCCTCCTGCGGCTCCTCTCCACTTTGCGGCGACTATTCCATGCGCCGCCGCGACACCAGCCGCCTCCCAGTCGTCGGTGCCGCGAACCAGGACCGCCGTCCGGCTATGAGAATTTCCTCGACACCCATCCGCCAGCTCGTCAGCCTGACCCTGCCCATCTTCTCGCTCGTTCGCCAGGTCCGAAAAACTAATCACTCTGTAGTTTGTACCGACTTTTCATTTTTGATCTGTTTGCTCTTCTGCAGTCTACATGTTACCTCTCAGTTCGTGGGATCTCCGGATATTCTCTACAGCTTTTGGAAGCAGGAACCTGGCACCGGATTTACATAGCATGGAAGATTTATCATTTTTTTAGAGAGAAGGAAGATTTATCATTTCTGCCTACGTCTCCTTTATTATTTTTTCATTCACGTTGTTTAAGCGTTGAGTTGACAGATTAATTAATGGAATATGCAGGTTGGCTTTGTTCATTGTTTATTCTGATGCTCGATAGAGGTAGTTTGAGGTGTACGAAGATGTGGACATATTGCAGAAACTTTGGCTTTGATGTGTACCGGTATGTGGCCTAATCCCTCTGTCTGTAGATTAGCTAATTCCCAATTCAGAAAAGAAAACTATTTGCCAAGACAGGTTGTGAGAACATGTAAATTGTACTATTATTGACAGTGCGGACAGAGAATCCGTCACCTTTTTTCCATTAAAAACATGTCAGTTCAGCTCAAGTCGGAGTGTTAGTGTTTGGAGATTCTACATATGTAGTAACCTTTTTCAAGCTAGAGTGGCGGGCTTTCAAAACTACTGGAGTTCTGTACACTTTATGGGTTCTTGAGGTGTCAAGTAGATGTGTGTATGATTGGTAGCTAATTCTGTATGTGGGGGTAATTCTTATGCAGTCATGTACCTTCCGTTGAAATACCACACAACTCCTTTGCCTATTAGAATTATAGATACCACAAAGCAACCGTTATGGCAATTTGTCAAATGTAGATGTTCCTTCTAGACTTTAGATAGATATATGTATTTCTTGGAAGTAAGCACATGGTAAAAAAATAGGCTCATATTCATGAAGGAAAGTGCCACTGACCCTCACATGGTAGGCTGAGACCAAAATAGTGTTTCGATTCTCTTCTCTGTATAATTAATTTGCATTTCCCTATGGTGACATAGAATCGCATGCGCATGCTTTAAGTTGTTCCTCAATTTATTTTTTGGTCAACTTCAGGAAATTAAGGAGCTCAGGACCATATACATTCAGTCTATCTATATATACAGCAGTAAATAACCTCAGCCATCAGGTAAATTCTTGCCTTCAGGTTACCTATGATGTGAATCATTCAAGTAAGGATAAGCTAGCTTATTATCCTAGAAACTGCTATTAGAAGATGCCATAATCTGAATAGTTAGCCATCTGTTAAAAGCACATCCACTTAAATTTATTTCTTGCATGTACTCCCTCCGTTCGGAATTACTTGTTGCGAAAATGGATGTATCTAGAACTAAAATACGTCTAGATACATCCATTTCTGCGACGAGTAATTCCGAACGGAGGAAGTATAAGTTTTGGATTGCGCAACTGCGCTATGCATACCAGTTCTGCTTGTTTATATGTTACTAAAATATTGCATACATATCTACCGACATATATGTAATACTCTATCAAAATGAGAATGGATGGGATATTCCTATCTTTCATAGGTCTGCATACTATATAAGCATCCGAAGGCCTTCTAGCTAGCACCCTCCTGCAATCACCCCCCATGAGTGTAGGTATGCTACTCATATGTTTCTCTCATTTTCCCCTAGAATTCTCCATATATTATTCACCTCCGCTTCTGTTTTACCCTCCCTTCCATGCCCCTTCAGCAGCTGCAGCCTTTACTTATCTTCTTCATCCAATATGTCTGCAAGGTCTGTTATTTTCAGGATATGATGCTTTAGAGTCTGTTTTGTATGCATGTCAATGCAGATATTTGGAATAGACAGGGCCACAATCCAATATGGTTTTGATGCGATCAGAAATCCCAATATAGGAAATATGACGCCTTTTCGTGTGTTGTATTTTGATGTGAAATTTACATAGTTGAACATTATGGTTTCATACCAGCTAATGACGAAATGTGAACTATTTTTTGTTTTTATTGGTAAAAAAATGTGGCAACTCGCTAACAAGGGAAAATCATTACTCCCTTTTATATTTATAATAATTCCGATCTATCTGAGGCTACTTGTGAATTACTAAATTAGTGTTGTTTTTGTTCAATTTCTATAATGCGGGTATAGTTGAATGACCCATGGGGATCAATCTGTTCATAATTATAGTGATTAGATAAATACCATCCATTTTGATGTTTGTCATGTACATATCTAACTTTTTTCAAAAAATATAAAGTGGCCGCATGCATCGCCCAGATGCAGAGGCCGGCGGTGATCCTCCTTTTCTAAAAAAAATGTGTAACTTTTTTCTTCTAGAGAAATCCATCTTAAACACACATTTAGTTTACAACAGATATCTCTGGCTGTTGGGAGTGTGTTCGTACGTTTTCTTAATCTGAACAATCTATGAGAGAGGATCGCATGCCTATTATTGCTTTTATTTTGTATGCTTTTGGAGTTTAGCTCGATGTACTTCCAGGTATCTCCACGAAATAAAGAAACCACGTTTGGGGAAAATTTTGTTCGGGGTCAATGAAAGCAACCAACTCCAAATATTGGTGAAAAACATTTTCTGTTTGATAGTGGATTATATTTTTGTGCTTAACTCATCAATAGAGGTGCTTTGCCATTATTGTTGGTCAGAAAATGAAGTTAATGTTCTTATTTCGATAGGTAAAATCACTATTTGGTATTACCCTTTCACTTTGGATTTTTGGTGCTTGATATATTTACAGAAATTAATATCATTCGAAACTGATGGATGTTCCAACACATGTCATCATGGCTTCATTTATGAGCTTATGAGTAAAGTTATGGCCAAATGCCTAAATATATTTATGAAAATTCTTATCATTATATCGTCAAAATGGACAGGCGCGGCAATGCGCGCCATCAATGATCTAGTATCTACTTATTGAGAGGCGCTACCCACACCCAGCACACCGCCCCCCAAAAAACCTAGGTACTCTTCTTCCTCCTCACTCTCACCCACCTCACGTCAGCTTGCTCCACTCGTACCCCCAAATTCCTTACCTCATTCCTACAGAAAACCCTAGCTCCCCTTCTTCTTCACTCGCACTAGAACTAGGCTCGTCATTCGTTACTCTGCTCAAATCCATGAGCGCGATGCGATGCCTTCGAGGAAAATGGAGTCTGCTGACCCCAACGCCAAGAAGATGAGGCTCCCACCAGGTGACGCCTGTTGTAGATCCCCCACCCGGCAGCGCGGGGAGAAGCGGCGACCCCTCCCCCACCGGATCCCAGGAACCCGTAGAATCTCGGGTGGACCGCATCAGCGATCTCCCGGACACCGTCCTTGGGGAGATCATCTCGCTTCTCCCCACCAAGGATTGCTTCCGCACCAAAGTCCTCTCGATTTGGTGGCGCCCTCTATGGCGCGGTGCCCCTTAATCTCGACTATCGTCAGCTATCTCTCTTCAATGATTTTGAAATTCCTAGAGCCATCATCTCCTCCCACCAGGGCTCCATTCAAAGCCTCTGCATCCCGTCATGCTACTTGAGCAAGCATACCATGCCCTGCACGGTGGATGCTTGGCTGAAATCCCCTGAATTCACAGAACTACAGCTGCTTGAGTTCTACTATTCCCCTGGAAATCACCTACCACATACCGAACGCCATGTACTTGTGCCCTCAGCACCAATGTCCATCTCGCGGTTTTCCTCCTCTCTCCACACCGCCACCTTTGCACTGTGCTACCTACCAGACAATCTGGTACTAAACCTTCGACTCCCATTTCTCAAGAAACTTTCACTTGTGTGGGTTTGTATATCAGAGGCCTCATTGCACAGCATCGTCCACTCCAGTTGCCCTGCCCTGGAGTGCTTGTTGCTTGTTTTCACAGTTAGAATTGGTTTTCTCCAAATAAAGTCGCCTAATCTTGTAAGAATTGGAATTTCTTTTGACGGATGGCAGCTCATCATCCAAGATGCCCCTGCACTTCAAAGGTTGATCCTTGATTCTAGTTATTCACCGTTGCTAATAATCATCCTCTCTGTGCCTAAACTGGAGACCTTGGGTGTAATACATGATCTCTGTGCTCATTTCAATATGGTGTTTGGCTCCATAGTTCTTCAGGTACTTTATATTATCATCTACACTTGTAACCATAAGCTGCATTTTAAATTTCTACGCATAAGTTATATATATCATCTTGGAGTACACATTTTGTACTAATATTATGTTCTATGCTCAATGAAGAGTTTCTCCATGGATGGCCTATCAATGGTGCTGGATTCTGTCAAGATCTTATATATCCAAATGAATAGTTTTGATCTGAACAATATTATTGGCTTGCTGCAATGCTTTCCATGTCTGGAGAAGCTGTATATAAAGGTGATAATTTCATGCACATTGGAAGCCCGCATATAGTGTACTAGAATAAACCGTTCAACTGTTGCTCTTTCGACACTCTTTTCTTAGACCTTTATTGTTTTCAATCTTCATGTCTATTTAGGCAACATGATGGGGTAAGAAAGTTATAACCAATCGGTGGATTCGTAAGCACCGGAATTTTCTCACTTGTCATGACATTCTATTGAAGACAATAATGCTAGACGATATGTAGCCAACCATGCAAACACTAGATTTGTCACATTCTACCTGCTGAATGCGAGGTTACTATTGTCCATCAGGCTTAAGTTTATCAGCAGCATGGTTTTGATGGATGGATATGTCGAAGAGCAAAAAAAGAAGTTTCAGGTGGGCAAAAGAGCTTCTGAACGTGCCGGGCTTCTATTTACAACATATTGTGGTCATAATCCAATAAATTTACGACCCAGGATGTTCATTCTATGGACCTGACCGATCCATTTGACCGTGACTGCCAAAAATAGTGTTGGCGTTAGATGTTGTTGCCCTTTTCAACCTGGGTTTTATCTAAACCTGATGAATAATTAACCCTCGTGCTTTTGTACAGTTTGTAAGCTGGAGTTAGATATTCTTGCCCTTTTCAACTCGGCTGTCTCTCATATTGTCTTTGAAACAAGGCAAATGGCTTGCCATTCGTTTAATTTAAAGTGAAATATTGTAACAAATCCCAACCAAGGGAAATAACATCACTCTCGCCGGCTGCTTGAGCTCACTGTGCATTAAACAAGCCAAGTGATTAGCCCCCACTAGCACCCACAAACTTATTTCGAACTAGCACATCAAATGGGCTGTAAATTTTCATTGGAAAGGCTGCATGACCGTGACAGATTTGGATTCTGACATTTGGGACCCACGAGGAAATAGCCTATCCAAGGTGGTGTTGACTTACTAGCCAGTCAACAAACGATTCTGCCTTACCAGCCGTTGGATTGACATCCAACATCTGTCGTGTATCTTCTATCTATTGTCTTCTTCCTCCAGCAGCCCAAACCAAACCACCCTGTCAGCTCCGCCTGCTCCCGTCTCCCATGGTTGGTTGTGCCTCCGCCGCCCTACCATACCCTCCAACGTTGGCCAGTCCCTCCCTCTATTCCCCCACATGTTTTGTTATTTTCCAGCGACGTCAGCCCCAACACGCACCCGCACCCGAACCAGTCAACCCTCATACTCCCCTCCACCTGTGATTGGACTGGCGCATCTTCCATGGCTCTTATTCGTTCCGTCAGAGGCCTCGCCGTAGTCCTCCGCCTTGGTTCGCTTGCCGTGCGCGGTGCACCGCCCTCTTGCATTGTCGATGTCGTCAACAATCAAGAGGAACAAGGAGATGACTGTATGTGGAGAGGATGACAATAGGAACCCACCTGCGTCATGGCAGTACGAAAGCAAGTGCCTCGTTATTACAAGCCCAAAAAATGGTTTCTCCTAATGGTTGGACATCTGGGGCTCACGCCATTGTCACCATAGTCAATAAACGAGAGAATTACACTACGAGCGGCTGACACTAGGGACCCAACAGGTCGTGCCGTTTTTTGAGGAACAAGCACTTGTTATTTATACTAGTTTTAGCGACGGATTAGGGTAACAGCGGGCTGTGTGGGGGATGTGACCCGTCTAGCCAGGGTTTTATTTATGTTTACCACATCATGAGCCCAGTTGTGTTTTTTTCTTGCTGAAAATGGCTAGCCCAGTTCTATTTTTTAAAAAAATACCCAAACGAGGCCTACTTGCTTTATCAGCCCTGCTGGGATGCAAATCTTTCAAGACGAGGAGAGTTTCATTCGGTTTGGCCAGAAATGCGCTATACATTTTTAAAACACATCAAACCGGGAGTTAGATTCAATTTTTTTCATTACAAGATTTTAAATTCCACTGATTTTTATGCATGGACAATTATTTGGAATTTATATTTATATAAATTATTTTTTAAAAATAGTTTGAATGTGACTGGATATTTCGGGATTAAAAATAGTTGACATCAGCGAAATATGCAGAATTTCGTATAATTTTTAACCGTGGCCATAATATGGGGTGTAATGCTAACAAAAATAAGATGGTCTCCAACAAAATTCTTAAGAATTAGAAAATGGGCCGTAAATTATTAGAAATAATGGTAGATGGGTCGTATGCTGTTTTCCATAGATTTGAGGCTGACTTGTGCGCCTACTACAGGTTGACGCGTATTCTTTCCTAAAAAAGGTTGATGCACACGCAACACCGTGTCAACTTAGTCAACACACGAGAGCAGTGACTGTTGGATGTCCATCCAACGGCGTCGTGCTTCTTCAATCTCTACTCTTCCTACTCCAGCCGCTCAAACAAGCGCCGTTGGGATTGGCTGCTCCCTCCTCCCGTGGCTGGCTATACTACCGCGCAGGCCTCACCACCCCACCATACTCCCATCGCTGGCCTAGCCATCCCTCTACTCACCCACACCTGCTGTTATTCTCCGGTGATGGCAGATGAACTAGTAAACCATCGTACTCCCCTTGGCGTGGAAACAACTGCCGAGTCTTCCCTAGCTCCATGTCATTCCCTTCCTAGTCCTCGCCGTCGTCCACCACCCTGGTGCTCTCAGCGCGGCCTGGTCAACATGGTCAATGAACGACATCCATCGGAAGTGGACTGTACATGGAGAGGCTGACGGCTGGGTCCACAGCCGCACGCAAGGAAATGCCTCCGTATTACGCGCAAAGCAATGATTCCTCCACCTGATAGCTAGGACCCACCGGAAGGGCCTCTGTATTTCGCGAAAAAAAAATTCCCCCCGCTGATAGGTCGGACCCACCAGCTATATCTTCACACGCAAGGAAGTGCCTCCTTATTACGCACAAAAACATGAATACCCCTACTAGCTGGGATCCACCATAGTGCGAGGCTGCCTTGTGGGCCTACTAAGTTGACGGGGACGGAGGGCTTTGTCACATTAGTCAATATGAACGATTCTAGCTCCAGTGACCGTATGATGTCCATCCAACGGTCGTAGTGCTTCTTCAACCTCTGGTCTTCTTGCTCCAGCCGCCCAAACCAGCGTCGGTCGTGTCACGTGCTCCTACCTCCCATGGCTGGCTATGATGCCGCAGAGGCCTCACTGCCCCTTACTACTCCCACTGCTAGATAGGCCATCCACTTACCCACACCCCCTGTTATTCCGCGGCAACGGTAGCCTCACATCGCAGTCGAACTAGTGAACCCTCGTACTCCTCTCCGCGTGGGCTTTCACTGCCGTGTCTTCCCCGGCTCCGCGTCGTCCCATTCCTAGGCCTCGCCGTCGTCCACCGCCCTGGTGCTCTCGGCGTGGTGTGATTAACGTGGTCAAGGAACCACTTCCATTGGAAGAGTACTGTACGTGGAGAGACTGATAGCTGGGTCCACAACAACAGTAAGGAAGTGCCTCCTTATTACACGCAAAATAATGATTCCTCCACCTAACAGCTGGGACCCACCGGATGGGCCACCCTATTTCGTGAAAAAAACATTCCCCCCTGACTGCTAGGACCCACCAGCTACATCTTTGCCCGCAAGGAAGTGCGTCCATATTACGAAAAAACAACTCGCCCCCTGACTGCTGGGACCCACCAACTACATCTTCGCACCAAGGAAGTGCCTGACAGTCGGGACCCACCTGGTCGAAGCGTATGTATCGTTGTCATTCTGGTCGCGAACGTGTACGTATATACTGGTCGACGTAGAGGCACGCACGTGCCGTAGTAGACGCGCACACGTGTCGTAGTAGAGGCGCGCACGTAGCATGTACACATACGTACAGCGGCCAGGGTGCAAGAAAGTCAATACGACCACATATGTACATACGGGCGGGGTCTCGAACGCCTAGTCACGCATACGTACGGCTAGGGCTCGTGTACATGGCTGGGTCAGAACGGAGAAACTGCGTCATCGTCGTGTTCATGGGAAGGCAATGGAACGCGTCGTGTTCATCGGGAGGCAACGGAACACGTGCTGTACATCGGGAGCCAACCGGCTTGGATGGAATAGCCGATGGAAATGAGGCGTAGCGTACCGCAGAACGGAGGAAACGGCCTTGTGTTCGACCGGCCACGGTCGAAACAGGATCTTATTCATCAGGAGGGGTCTGGCATACCCCAAAACATAGGAAATGGACTTCTATTAGACCTCCTACAGTCAAAACGGGGTCCTGTTGATCGGGAGGAGTGTGGCGTACCGCAAAACAGAAGAACCAGACTTGTGGTTGGAGCACTACGGACGAAATGGGGGTCCTGTTCATCGGGTGTGGTGTGTGGTGTACCGCAAAACAGGACTCCACGGGATACTGTTCATCTCCACCATCGACTACCTCCAGCCTCCACGGGCTCGACCTCCTCCAGTCTCCACCTGCGACTGTTCATCCACGGGCTCCTGTTCTTCCAGCCTCCACCGCGCGCTCCTCCGCCGGCTACTGTTCAACCAGCCCTCTCCACGGGGTCCGATTCATCCAGCCCTCCACCGGCTACTGTTCAACCAGTCCTCCACCGGCTACTGTTCAACCTTCCCTCCACAGGGTCCTGTTCAACCAGCCCTCCACGGGGTCCTGTTCATCCATGCCCAACCATCTCGATCGATCGGGGTCCTGTTCATCCAGCGGCAACACCACGGGGTCCTGTTCATCCAACCCCCTACCGGGAACTGTTAATCCAACCCACCTGCAATGCTCACTGTTCATCAAGGGAAGGAGGCAGCAGGTTCGATCGGCTTTAGTTAGCAGCAGTAGTGAACGAAGGAATCGCTCGATCGGGTTCAGTAACGCGTAGCCTACAGTGCAATCGCTCGGGTTCAGTAGGCGAATGCCTCGCTCAGGTTCAGTTAGAGCCCAACTCCTCGCACCCACGCGCGTACGTGTACGAGAGAAACACACATCGCTCGGCCCCTGACCACCCACCGTAACCGGGGACTGCATGACATTTTCCTCGCCCTTGCTTCTACCACGGTTTTTTCCGTCATGCACGACCCAAAGAATGTCATGCAGCTGCGTCTCCGGCCCGCCC